TCTATCTATACTATCTATCTATACTATCTATCTATACTATCTATCTAGTCTATACTATCTATCGATACTATCTATCTATACTATCCATCTATCTATCTACCTACCTACCTATCTATCTGTCTATCTATCCATTTATCTTTCTATCTTTCTATCTATCTGCAGTTCAACATCCATAAAATACTGCACCTGCCACGAAATCTGCACTTCAAGGTCCACAAAGTCACTGCGCGTGCCACGAAATCTGCACTCCAAGGCCCACAAAGTCCTGCACCTGCTACCAACTCTACACTTCCACATCCACAAAGTCCTGCATCTGCCACGAAATCTGCACTTCAAGGTCCACAAAGTCCTGCGCCTGCCACGAAATCTGCACTCCAAGGGCCACAAAGTACTACACCTGCCACGAAATCTGCACTTCAAGGCCCACAAAAAGTCTTGCGCCTGCCACAAAATCTGCACTCCAAGGCCCACAAAGTCCTGCACCTGCCACCAACCCTGCACTTCCACATCCACAAAGTCCTGCACCTGCCACGAAATGTGCTTTGCAAGGTCCACAAAGTACCGCACCTGCCACGAAACACGAAAAACAACAAAATCAAAAAAGAACAACAAAAAGATCCAAAATTAAGTCGCGGCCCATTATGTAATATAAATATTGTAAAGTGATGCAAAGTGAGTGGGATGAATTCCTTTTAAAGGGCCTTCAAGGTTGGGACTGCAACCTTTTTTGAGACACACTTGCTTGTGGTTTTCACTGTTTTCTTTCTTGTGCATGTGTGTCATCGATCATTCTCCGGGGCAACCTGAGAAACAAGGGGCCTTGATCAGGCAGTTTCCTGGAACCCTTTGGGTGATATGAACTGGATCCCGGCTCATTTTCCTGGCGCTGTTGAGTATTTTTTGCATCAATCAAGGAAAGTGGTTTCAGATCAGCAGCTGGCATTGAAACTGCTGTGAGGCGCATGCAGGTAGCCCACACAGTAAAACCTGAGCTGGCAAAGCTGTCCGTTTATGCACGTGCAAATCTTGCAGAGGATGGCACCCTGAAACCAGGACACTTGCCTGCATCTCTCGGGGACAAGGCAGGGGTTCCTTGTTTTGTCCTTCGAATGAGCACACCCGAGGAGATCCATTGCCAGATGTACCCCTTGTAGGCCTTGATGGTCAGATCTCTATGCTGAAGGAATGGTGTGGAGACCTCACTGTTGTATGTGCGGGGTCCTGGACCTGACCACCATTCCGTGCTGCCATCCGTGTGCTGAATGACATGAGTTCAAGGCGAACGAACCGATCCACGATTCGGTTCTTGTGCGTTTACATTCGCGAAGCCCATGCCATGGACGTCTGGCCCATTGATGGCCCGCAAGTTGCAGAACCGAAAACTACAGAGCAACGCCTGCAGACGGCCTTGGAGTTCAAGCGCAACTGCCAACTTTCATGGCCAATGGCCATCGATGGAATCGAAGACTCATTCTTGCGCCACTTTGCACCATGGCCTTTTCGCTTCTATGTCTTTCGCGGTAGCAGGCTGGAATTGAAGACTGCGCCGGTGGATGGCACACACCAATTTGATGAGGCAGGGGCATGGGTTTGGAGTTTGGACAAGCCGTTGAAACTAGGACCTGCCGCTACATGCAAAAATTGCCTGATAGTAATCGCTTGCAAAGTGTCTATCAGTATAACAACTATAAAATTTGAAAGGTGATTCTCTGTGTCTTGCGGTTTCGCGATGCCTCGATGGAAAGTGCGTTTGCGGTTACGCAGCTCCGTGCCATTGGTGAATGGGACAGATGGGTGTGTAAATTCAGCTTGTCGCTGGTGAGCGGCATGATTGGCGGAGATTCTAGCGGGGGTACTGGGGGTACCTAATTGAAAATCATTACACAACAACAACACACCAAAATGATCTGGTGTGCATTTCAGCAGTTTAAAGTTTAAAGCAAGGGGGGGCAATATAGAAACATATAGGGGCGTTTGACATGCGTTTTTAAATTTGGTGCTGTTTTTATTTAGGCATTCAGGATTATTCCTAATTTGCTGCTTGCTAACCGCAGCAGAAAAACTTTGCACTCTTCCTTCCCATATTGCCAGCGGCTTTGGGCACAATCTGGGTAAATTGAAATGCCCATTGCATTGTCCGACGCAGAGAGAGGTTTGAAGCTTGTAGACAAAGTCCTCAACATTTTGTAACAACCCATGCCAAAAGCATAGTTTTTTCCCTCCCTCATGTTTCAATCTCCAGGTGGAGGATGCCCTTCGCAACTTTGAGGGGCGCAAGTAGTTTGTTATGAGGCAAAGCTGTACGAATGATGTCAGTGGTCGATGTTTCCACCGCAGACGGACAGACACTCTTTGTCCTCATGAGGGGGGGGTTGTCATAGCCCCAACAGAGGTGTCTATGACTTGCTCTTTGAAAGAGCACGTGTCAGGAGAAGCAAAAAGCTGCGCCTCAAGAAGGCGTTTCATGAGTCGTTTCATGTTATGTTGGAGTGATTGTTTTCTTCCTCTCTCCATGTGCCATGCAAATGACGCCGCTGTGCCGCTGTGCACTGGACACTAGTTGTACTTCTCGAGCACGACTCAACTCTCCACACCCAACACAACACCAATAGGATCTGAAATCTCTTTGTATAGGGCCTAGTAAACCGGCGACCCTCATGAGGTGTCCCGGTGTAACCCCTACTCGTGCTCCAATTGTGCAGAAGTGGAGTGCTTCGCGCGGTGAAACTTTGCTTTTAGAAGCTTTTAGATGTTTGAGCAGTGCGAACATCACGGCGCAGATGACACTGTGCAAGTGCTGGTTTGAAATTGAAAGGTCGATCAATGATGATGTTTATTCCATCCTGGCGTTGTTGCAGCCCCGCGAGGTTTGTATCCATACCCGTGTGCGGTTTCCATTGTGCCCTTTCATTCATCTCATAGCGGTAGGTACCGTACAGGTACTTGGGTGGTGCTTCCTTCGTGCTTTTTGAAGCCAGGTCAAACGGGCAGTCGGACAGTCAGCAACTACTGTCCGAAGTTTGAGACTAGCGAAGCCAGGGGGGGTTGTGGAGTTGTGTGCAGCATGTTGGCAAGGAAGAGAGGCCACTGCATGGCAACAGTTCAAGTGTTGCCTTGCACGCTGTCGTGGTGGTTTGAAGAATGTCTACTGAGCTTAGAGCTTGGCCTTGATCAGGTGGAGGCGGAGCAGTCGATCGTCGATAGCTGGTCCGTCCCGCAAAAATTGGGTGTGTCTCACGGAAAATGGACGATCCTGACCTTATTGGAAACCTTTGGGCAGGGCAGCACAACGGTCTAAGTCTAACCTTTATGAAGTAGAGCCCCGGCAATTCCTACCTAGCATGGATTGGGTATCCAAGACCTTGCCATCAAGCTGATAGTCAGTCAAAGCAAAATAGAGCATTTCAAATGATTCTCGGCACTGGGCTCGAGTACATGCTCAAGAATGGTCTGCAGCTTGACATACAGTGTCAAGGTGATCAGCATTTGACACTGGGGGTGTTCATGGGAACAATGCTGAGAGGTGGTAGATCCATGTATTCTCCCATATTCTCCCCATGCTTGAACTGATTACGGTGAGAATGGAAGTGTTTCTGCGAGTGCTTTGTCAGACCAGCAAGGACAAACTTTTATTCCAATGAAATCGCTTGATCCAAGCCATGGATGCGGTTTTCAATGCTGGCAAGTTCAAGGGCCGATGGTTCAGTGATGTGGCAGGCCCAACAGTCCAACAGCCCACCACTTCCTTGCGCGTCACAGGTGTGTCCACTTTTGTCAATGTAAAGGTAGCAGCCACAATAGTAGTCGTCGTCGTCGTGGTCGTGGTGGTCGTGGTCGTGGTCGTGGTCGTGGTCGTGGTCGTGGTCGTGGTCGTGGTCGTCGTGGTGGTGGTGGCGGTGGTAGTAGTAGTAGTAGTAGTAATTTGTCAGAACGGCAGGCCCTGAGAGTGCAGTTTTTTGCTATTTTTGTTCTTAGGCCTAGATTTTATTACAGAAACTGCACTCCCAGGGTGGCAGCAGGCAAGGCAAAGCAATATTTGGATCTAGAGTGGCATCAAAAACATTGAAAAAAACAAGAAAAATTGTATTTTCAGACTCTCTGCAGCCAGGATTTTCTGCATATTCTTTGTGGCAGCAGGCAAGGCAAGGCAATATTTGGATCTAGGGGGTGCCAAAAACAAAAAAACAAAGAAACTCCCCCCCCAAAAAAAAAACAATAGTTTCAGACTCTCTGGAGGGGGTGGGTTCCCAGCCAAGACTCTCTGAATATTGTTTTTCTATTTTTTTTGGTTTCTTTGTTTTTTTTTGTTTTCTCAAGGTTTTTTGGCCTTTCCTAGGTTGTTATTGGTTTTCTCAAGATTTTGTGTTTTTTGGTTTTCCTATTGAGGTCAATCTGTGTTCTTACTATTTCGTTCAACCTTCAAGTATGTGAGCCTAAGTCTCACCTAAAGGCATATGTTCTTTGCTCTTACAATGAAAGCGTCTGAGCTCACCACTCCCTTTGTCCTTGTCGAAATCTCCATGTACAAGTCTGTGCATTAACTTCTGGAATCAATGTGGTTGCCAATTGCATGTCCAATCAGCTTGACATGAAACTGTAATGATACCTTCCAATTTACATGAAATTGTTATGAATCTGTGTAAGCTGTAGTTCTAATTCAATGCTTGTTGCTTTTGCTTCGGCTTTGTAATTTCGAAGCCTCCTCGACTTGTGCATCTTGTAGCTCAAGCGTTTTACATCTTATTCTGGCGAAATTCTAATTTTGATTCCAATTCCTTTCTAATTCAACTCTCATCTAATTTTTAAATAGGTTATAGTTATAGTTCAATACAAGTTTAGTTGAACTTAGGTGTTAATTCAGTTCTATCTTAGCTCTAACTCAAATCCCATTTTATTCTACCTAATTCTATTCTAGCTCTAGTCTATTTAGTTTAAGAAAACACATGCTACAAAACCCCGTATTTTACAGTATTTTTTTGCCCTGGGAGTGCTGGGAACAAGACTACAACTCTTTTTTGAAGTAAATAGTTGGATTTTGTTTATTTACAGTAATCACTGGAAATAATATAGACATATTAAACTTGTTTTATGTACAAGCTTCTAATTCAAGAGCTTCCCTCTAGATCTCTGTGGATGATCATTTCTACAATAAAAATATACAAAAGCTTTCATTTCAAAAGCTTTCCTCTGGATCTCTGGAAATGATCATGTCAATTTAAACATGCAATATATCAATAAATATGGTATTCTTTCAAGAGCTTTCATTTCTTGAAAACACACATATATGGGATATCTACTTTCCCAAAGATCCAGAGGAAAACTTTGAAAATGCAAGCTCTTACCCGCAGAAAGCTAGAATAAAGCTTTTAACATACAAGGTTTCTATATAGTTGTTTAAATCTAAAAATATAGATCTGCAGAGATCTATAGAGAATCTTGTGTAACATAAACGCGTCTATATAAAATATTTCCAAATCTAAACATAAATATAAGCAGAGATCTAGAGACACTTTTATGGTCTGCTTCTTTCCTAATTATGTTGTTCAAAAGCATCTGAATGACTGCTTGCTGCTTCCAAAACAATAAAATGACCCTGATTCAGGAATACATAATATGTTTGTTCATATGAAGAGAGCAGGAACAGATTAGATATATATATATGTGTGTTTTTGGGGCCAGACTCAAAGGCAACTGGACACTACATAGATGCTGATAAGCCACAAAACTATACATGTCAAATGACTTAATGGAATTCTAAAAATAGCAAAAAAGTGCACTCTCACAGCCTGCCACTCTCTAATCTTTAGTAGCAGCAGCAGCAGCAGTAGCAACAATAATTAGTCGTAGCAGTTGTGGTAGTACTAGTATATAGTACTGCAGTTAGTACTGCATATATGCGTGATATATACATAGATATCCGACTTTCCTAACTTTGTGTGATTGTGTACTATCTACCGAGATCACTGAATCTTCATGGACCATCATTGTCCCTTCATCCTATTTGGTGGTGCCTTTTTGAGCCAGTCAGCTGCACCAGCCAGGCACGGAGACTGCTTTCTGCACCTGGGCCAAGAAGCAGAAATCGCCTCCAGGCCAACAACCTCACGCACCATACATGGCGGAGGGGAGTCGATGGGAGCGAATGCTATTCTCTTCTTGCACTACCAAAGTTGAAGAATCCGCATCGTGTTATACATAAGCATTGGTGCCTCACAAAAGCTTAACAAAGAATGCTAGATGACCTTCTTTTACAACCCCCAGAGTTCTGAGGGGAAGCAGTGCTGGCAATTCCATTTCTAAAGCAATCCTGCGAAGATTGATTTGCCAAATTTAGTTTCTTTGCACGGCTGCACTGCAGCGTAGAAGATGAATTTGGTTTCTTGTTTGGAATGTTCTTTGGAGACTTCCAGCCCCAAAGGGCCATGTTGACCATGGTGGTTGTTTTCCGTGTTTCCGGCATAAACAATTGTGCGATGAAGGAATGCCAGATCGGCTTGGTTCCGACCGGCCTCCAGGCTACTTGCGGTCCTTTGTCGAGTTCTTGAAGAGTGGGAGCAGGCAGGGTCTCTCGGACCGTGGGATGAGAGGATGGATTCTGGTGGATGTTTGAGGCAGTTTGATGGTGTGTAATGGTGTCTAGGAGGGGAGGTGCTGAGCAACTGGGCCCAAGTGCAGGTCAAGATCAACTAGTTATATAGTTGTTCATGTTTTGGCAGATGTTCATTTGACGGCATGTGGGTCTGGCCCCAGTGGGGGGTGATCGCTGAGGCGTGGCCAGCAATCCCTGGACGCCCATGTGGTACGAAGCTCCCGCGAGCCACGGCCACCCAGAGCTGTCGATGCTGAGGTGACCCTGAAGGTAGCCGTGTCTCTGAGCTTACGGGGAGGGGAAGCGGATTTAGGTTTGATTTGGATGGTTTGATCTGAGCCGTGTTCCTATTGACGGACTTATGCGTTTTGGGCCCTGGGCCGCAGGAAGGCACCGCCAAAAGCGCTGGGATCCGGTTTGATTTCACCATGGATCTTGAGGCCTGGAGCCTAGCAATGACTCGCTAGGCGGCTAAGCGTTTCTGAGCACTTGCAAGTCGTGTGCGACACCATGGGCACATGTTTAACTTCTTGAGCAAAGTGAGCACTTGATACTGGCTGTGATGTGCATGTGGGCACGGCAACTCACCAGTTGGTCAGCGCTGATGAGTTCGACGTGGGCCCAGAAGACGCCAATGCAGAGGCGACCGGTCAGCAGTGCCACCGAAGTTCATTCCTAAGCCAAAGATTCCTTGATTCGCTTGTAGCAAGGACGCTACTAGGGGCTCCTGGCATCGCTACTAGTAACAAGAAGCTACTAGGGGCTCCTGGCCTTACTACTAGGAGCAAGGACGCTATTAGGAAGAGTGGCCACATCCCCAAACATCCAAACCTCCCCGTGGTCGCCCGGTGTTTCACTGAGTCAGGTCCCCTGGACACTGCGCCAAGCGCTCGCCGCGCGCCCGGACGGGCGGGCTGCGCCCAGTGCCAATCACTGGCGCTTCCCAGCCTCCAGTGGCGCGCCTGCACCTATACAGGGTCGATGGTACCGAAACGTCGTCCGTCCCAGGTGTGGAGGGGTTCTCGAATTGTTTGCAGATATGCTTTAATTACAGAGGGAATTGATGTGGACGAGTCATGATGAGCCTTGCTAAACGCAACTTGTTGCAGGAAGAATTTGGAATTTGTTTGTTTACCCTGCCATTGGTGGGATCACTAGAATGCGACACAATTTGACAAACAACCATGCAAACAGTGTCCCGCCGATTTTACCATGTCTTTCAGTGGGGTCACGCGTGTTCTTGCAAGCTCGCAGTAGCCGCTTAGCACCACACCAAGGTTACATAGATGTCCTCCGGTGGCTGGAGAGGGCTTTGCAAATCTGCTTGAGGGCTGAGGGTCAAGCGTTGCGACAACAAACCTGGCGGCTCGCTCCAGCCTGGTCCATGCAACTGCAGATGCAAGAAATCGGACAGCTTTTCGATTGAGGTTTCGTTCAATTCCCAGGAAATGCAACCAGCTTTTGGTCAGCTGAACTCTGAGCTCAGACCAACGTCGGCTTCGAAATGCCCAGCACTTGCTTCCCTGAAGAGGCCCCCTGCCCCTGCAGGAGTGGAACCCGGACTTCCGCTGCCGGGTGAATGGCGTGCCCAGCTGGGTGCTGAAGCACGTCCCTGCCTTCGCCACTGCCGCAGAGCAGGCCCCAAATGCCAGCTTGGTGGTGAGCTGGTCTGGGCAGAGATTAAACAATTTACAGCCGACTGCAGGACCCCCCCCTCCCTGAAGGACGCCAATATACGCCAAGGCAACAGGTGAAGGAACAGGTGAACAGGTGAAGGTGAAGGCCACGGAACAGGTGAAGGAACAGATTGGAATCGAGTGGAACAGGTGAAGGCCACGGCTGCCCTTCGCCTCTCAGCCGCCACTCGCCGTCTCCTGGCCGAGCTGCCGCCGGCGCCGGCGCCATCCACGCCAGCCGGATCCAGTGCGCTGTCTGCGCGGATGTTGCCATCGGCGGAGGTGAGGGGCTTCTCGAACAGCCCGGCCAGATGAGTTCAAAACTCAAAACCACAGAGAGGCACAATCCCAATAATTCATAATAATTATGTTCGTTTGATGATGTTGTGTGTTGTTTGAACAAGTTGTCTCAAAACAGTTTTCTTACGAGCTGATCAGCTATGATCAGCTGAATGCTGGAGGACTTGAAACTTGATGGGCTGGGTGGCACTCTGCTGCCCTTCCAGGCTGGGTCTACTGTTATGAGGTTCTTTGGGCTACAGCTTGGCTGGTTCTAAACATGAGCGAATGTTCATTTCATGATCATTTTGTGTTCATTCTTGCGCTTCTGGAGACATCATTGATATCTTATTTTTTGTTCATTTCATTCTCATGTTGACTTCATGTTTGTTTCATTTTGACTTCATGTTTGTTTGTTTCATTTCCTCGTCAAATTAAGGCTCCTCGCTAGCTAGCCACCCGACCGCAGTCTGAACAAAGGTTCCAGAATTGTCCAAAACCGAAAGAGCTCGAGTTGTCCATTTCATTTTCATTTGTTTATCAGTGTGTTTTCATACTTGTATCATGTTGCTTTCTTTTTGGTAGTTTGTTTTCATGTGTTATCAAATGTGTTTCATTCTTTTGCCGATTGATGAGAATGCAAAATACAAAATAGAGCAAAATGAAGCTCCACGTGAAGTTCAAATGACATGTTTTTTAGATAGACTGGTTGCGTTTGTTTGCCATGTCCAACCTGTAGCAGATAAAGATTCTCATAAGTCATAAGTCCACTGTATCAGTTCATAACTTTGTGTTGGGCCTGACGTTGAGCAATTTTGAGTGCCAAAAAAAGGGGCCCGCGGCCCCTGGGACGGTTGCTGGGACAAGCTACGAAGGAGGACCTTTTCATCATCCATGTCAACCAACACATCAAAAATACATGTTTGCGTGGTTTCACATATTTTCATGGTCAACCTCTACTTGGGAAGATTGAACCCTCAAAGAAAAGCGAGTTGAAGCCATCAAACAGATGTTTATTCGGCTCACTTGCAGGTCGAGGCAGTGCAGTACGGCTTGGCTCGGAATGGTAGGCCCGGACATGGCTGGGGCATCGACCATGTCAGGTGCTGCTTGCTGAAGTATTTGGAGTTCCCATGCTCGGTACAGACCACACAGGCAAGACAGAATTTAACCTTCTACTTCAGGTTCACCACAAAGTGCCCATGATTAAAGACCGAGCAGGGTGTGAGGTGCTCAGCTGTGCTCCGCCGCAGATTTTACGCTTAGGTGACTTAGGTGCACATAGGGTGAATCCTTGGAGAAATGAGCTCAGAAGTGAGCAAAGTGAGGCAGCGTAACTAAGGTCCTAAATATGCAAAGACACGTGCTGACAATGAATGGGCTTCTCCAGACAGGCATGGCTAGAATTCATGCAAAGTCTTGCAAGCAAACGAACACACGCCCAACTACGAAGCTAGCCACAATTACATTTCTGTGGAATTGAATCCACTCCCTAGCTGCCTAGCCATGGCGAGTGAGGTTGGATGAGCTTTCCACGGGGCTCCACCGGCACATGCCATCCGTTCAACCTCGAAAAGTTTGACCTTCTACCGGAATGCAATCATTTGTATGGGCGGCTCGGGCTTCTTTACCCTCCACCTAGACATCAGCTAGAGGGTTTTGGAATGCCTAGAGTCTTTGAGACAGGAAACTCCGACATGTCTTTGGTGGCATTTTGTGCACACTTGCCGCAGCTCCTGTGTCAACAAGTTGCTTCCGTGACGACTCACGGCTTTCCACAGTCAAAATTGCGATACTCCAGTCGGCTGAACACCGGTGAAGAGCATAGAAATTCAGTGAAATTCCAAGCAAGTCCGCCAATGCAACCAAGGCTGGCGACACAACTTCCTCGTGAGCTATGGGAACCGGGCATCTTGCGGATCCACGAGTTTGCGTCGGAGCTCCTGAACTGTTCCACTGTGCAGCAGCCGCTTAATTTTGCAAACAGTTTGGAGGGGTCGGAGTCAAACAGGAACAGCAAATTGCCCCAGAGAGCTCATATTGTAATCAACATTCTGTCTCAAGTTTCAGTTTTGAATTATGCAAAGGTGGAACTCATCAATGTGCCACATAAGCATTTGTATGATAGTGCAGAGCATTGAGTTGCAATTTCACCACGAAAGCGTTGACACTTAGAGAATCCAAGCACTGCGTCGCATGGGCACGCTGGCAAAAGTTGCACGCGAGCCCCAAACAAAAAAAAACATGTTCAGATGGATCCATCACTCCATCACATGTCTTTAAGTAAAGTGATGCAAGATTTGCTTGAGTTGCAGAGTAGCATTACTAACATCATGCAGCTCACCGGCCGGCAAGGTTATTCTCAGCTATTGTTTTGGAATACTTGTTGCCCGTGCTTCCTGAGCTTGTTTTCATAGGTCAGCGACGTTGATGAGCTTCTTGCAAAGCACCGTCATCAAAATGTAAGCTTGAAGAAGGAAGAAAAAACAGGGACCTCTCCATGTCTAGTTCAACTGAGATTTGCATCTCTTGTTTGAGCTGACTTCCCAAGGTGCAGCCTGGGGACGCTTTTCTTGAACACGGGTGTTTTGAGTTTGCCAGGAGTCGACCGGCTCCATGGCTGCAGAAGGGGGCTGGTGTGTACTCATGAAACGGAAGCAGTACCAGCAAGACGGCCTCGAGTGATTTGCTTAAGGCTTTTGGTTGCTGTGCAAAGGTTGATTGAATGGCTTCAACGAGATAGGTTATATAAATCATTCATGTTAAATCCACTCAAATCCCTCCCAGGAACTTGAAGTTGATGCCAAGGGGACCTGTGAACGCCAAAGATTAGGCAGCCGCAGATACTACTATATGCTACCCATTGCTACCCGGAGAAAGATGACAAAGGTTGGTTAGCTGGAACGCCGCAAAGAGGGCCGCTCGCATTGAATGCGAGTGAATGTCAGGTACAGCTTTATCGCTTTGGTTGTGCTTTTGCAAGAGATGTCCTCTATACTGGGCACATCTTACCCCAAACAAGATTTCAGACTCAGGTCTGCTGCAACAGATTACTGGCGGCAGCAGCATCCCGGCCTGATGGTTGAGGGCAGTTTGACCAATTGTCATCCAACTTCAAGCTCTCTACAACACGCACATGCTTTCAGCCTTTCAGTTAATTGCTATTTTGAGCGATGTTTGATTGAAATTGTTTCGCGAAAAATGAAACTTTCAGAAGAGCGTGCCTGACACACCAAGTTTTATCACTTATCATGTTTCATCTGAAGGTGCCAAAATATCCTTTTGCAGTAGAGAATTTGGGTGACTTTGATGTGGGCTGAGAATTCATGTGGTTCCATCGAATGCTCCGCATTGCGTCACCAATCCAAGATGACTGACCACCCTCTTTTGGAGCTCCCATTCGCAGCTGTAGGTATTGGATGCAGATGCAGAAGCGGGTGCGCCGCTTCCGTCGCCGCCGCATCCGTCAGTGGCTTCACTTGAAGCGCTTGGAACTCAAGGAACGCCAGGGGGGGCGTCCATCCTTCCAAGGAAGACGTCACAATTGGCACTAGGATTTTGCTCAGCAAGTTTTTGTTTCCGCCTTTTTGGTGAAGTTGTTTGTTCAGGCAGTGAAGTTGAAGATCTGTTGGTAGGGTACTTGGAGCGGGTTGACACTAGTTCGGAGTTGCGAGCCCTTGCTTCTGTGCTCCCAGGCATGCATGCCGACTCCAAAAGTGCTTCAGGACGACCACGCCGATGGTCCGTGGGATTTCCTCGCATTCTTGTGTCCAGCTGTTGAATTGTGCCACGGTGCACTGCAGGGTGTCCATAGGTCAGACAGACTTTGTGAGACAACTTTCACGATTTCAGCATCAACTCGTTGACGTGTTTAGTGCTTGGGGTGGCAAGATCAAACAGCACCCAAGCCAGGTTCCAAGCGGCCCCCTCTATTTCCTCGCGGCCTCCAGGCCCCTGGCGTGGTCAGTTGAGAGCATGGGAGGCCTTTGCAGAGGTGCAACAGCATCGCTTCTGGCTTGATATGGCTGCTCGACGTGGCAGGGTATTAGAGTTTATAGATGGTTGATATCTCCAGAGGTCGGGGGGGCCATGGATAGAACTCAAAAACAAAGTTGGGCACCTTATGCTTCCCACAGTCTTGGACCCCTGGAGATCTACTGCAACAGCAGAGAAGCCAAAACGTTTTTCTCAATCACTCATGTAGTTGCTAAAAGGGAGACTTTCTTTATCGGCCCCTTCCTGTGCCATGTTGTTCCGGGTCGGTGGAACATGGTGGAAGTCTGGCAATGTTGCGCGGAAGGCATGATGGAATTGTTATTGGTGTGTTGCAGACCTGTGTTTGATTGGTGCTGAGTTCCTGACCGAAGCCATACCAAAAGATTAGACAACCTTGCGCTCTACAAGAGGGAGGTGACACAGACTGTAGCTTCATTGTTTTGTGTTTATGCCTGCTTGACAGCCCCACGATGGTGCATGACCTCCATGTGATGTTGACAAGGGGCACATCTCATGATTGGGTCCGCTTCAGGAAACCTACTTCGATGGGCAAGTCTTCGCAGGGTATTTGGGCCTTTTCTGGGCGAGCTCCACCAAAGCCGACGATTTCTTTTGGTCGAAGTATCCATTTTTACAGCCTGCGACCGCGGATGGGCGCACTCCATCTGGACTCTTGTTGCTGAAGAAGCAGTGTGGAACAATCAGGAGTGGAATTGGAGTTGGTACATACATGTTCCATGATCCAGGTGTGTAGTTTCTAGTCACATGGCTGACACGCAAACCCCTTAATTATCCTTTTCACAAGGTATTTGCCACCTGGAGCAGTCGATGCTCTCAACCAGACCCAGTTCCCACATGTTTCAATATCTTTCAATAATCAAAGCTTCCGGGCACTTTGGATCTCCTCCAAGAGCCTCTCTAAGGATCCTTCTTGGAAGCGCGGATGGATGAGCAAGAAGTCTTGGATAAGCTGGTGATTTTTAATCAACCGCCTGGTTTTTGGGACTCGCTGGAGGCCTTGGGGGCAGCTTTGATACACACCGAGTGGTGCCTTGGATGTTGCCGCATGAGATGTTGGGCAGAAGGCCAGGATGTTGTCCAAAAACAGATGGGCTTGTGAGGCTTGCATGTGGCTGACACCGCATGATTGCAACTAATGTGATCTTCTAAGAATAAATGGCAACAAGAAGGTCAGGACATTTTTTCTTCTTACAAGGGCATTGCTAGTAGTAACAAGGGCATTACTAGTAGTAGCAAAAAGCTACTAGTAACAAGTAACAAGGGCATCGCTACTAGCAGCTTCTTCTTGTTACTAATAGTAATGCTACTACAGTGTTACTACAGTAGTAGCTTGTTGCTACTAGTAGCGATGCACCTTGTTACCAGTAACCGTAGCTTTTGATGTTCTTTTCTGTTTTTCTTCCCTGTTTGAGCCAAGGTTGGTGTGGCTGGACTTTGATTTGACCCTCTCACCGTGTTGCTTTGACTCCTTCTCCTTCACCCATTTGGTGGGCCAAACCGCGGATGGCGGTCTACCTGATGTCATCATCAGACGCTCAGACAGGCCTGAGACATCGTGAGATCTACCCCAGTTGCTTCTGATAACTAATGTTGCGGTGGTTCAAGACAGGGTTGTTCTCCTCGTTTGGTGTCGCTGTACGTCGCTACTGGCACAGTGGTTTGCCAATTTCACACGGGGCACCATAATTGTGGCCGGATTGCCGTGTGGTTTTAAAGCCCCAAGTACACTCTTGGGCAGCTCTCGGTTCGGCGCTGTTTGTACTAAGGAGACTCTCCAAGAGAGGACTACCACCATCATTGTGCCAATGCAGGATTTCTGGTAGTCAGAAATAGCCCAGTCGGGCGGTTCTTCATTGACCTTGCACGAGAAAAACGTCATTGGCCTAATATACCCTACGGCTGCTTGCTTGCCCTTCAGTGATCCAACAAGTTTAAACACTGCAAGCAACATGTCTCGGTGATCCCGGATCCCCGATCTTTTAGCGTTTGCATCTATAGTGTGGTGTGTCAACCCGCAACATGGATTCCATGACAACGTTTTGATTGTTGTTGA